GGTATGAAATTCCTTTAATATGTTTTTTCTACTTAGGAAGATTAAAAAAAATAGAGTCTATATACCTACATGCATTTCAAGTTGGGAGTAATTTAAAGTTATAATAAAAGAATCAATTGAGTATTTCAAAAGTATACTAAAAATCAGTGGCACTTGAAATTGTCCAGGAAATGAACAAAAGAGGCAAAAATGGATTTTAATAGCTTTGGCAGTTAATCATGTTCCTCCTCTAGTAGAAAACTTTATCCTATTTATTTTACAGACTTTTGGATTCTTTTCATAACAGTTGTGAATCTTAATATCACTTTTTAAATGTGTTTCCAACTCTTAATTTAGGAAAATTTAGGATGTCAAATTAACTACCTACAATGATTGTGTGTGTGTGTGTATGTGTATGTGTGTGTGTGTGTGTGTGTGTGTGTGTGTGTGTGTACTTGAACCCACTTGGCCTTCTAGATTTATCCACATGCAGGGCTCTAGTTGGCTTCCTGGCTTTTGACTTCTCAACCACACTACAAAGACTGTCAATGTACTAATTACCATAATGAATACTGTCACACATAAGGAAGTGCTTAGGAGAGGGAAACGGTGGCAGGAACAGGCAGCAGAGACTTCCTAGTCCTGGGAAAATAAGTATGAAAACTGTAGGAAGAAATCTCCCCTCGACTCACTACTTCAAGTTAAAAGATACCCAACCAAGCCAGGTGCTACGGCTCATACCTGTAATCCTTGCTACTTAGAAGGCTGAGACCAAAGGATCACAATTCAAAGCCAGCTAGAGCAGGAAAGTCCAGGTGAATCTTATCTCCGATTAATCACCAAAAAGCTGAAGTGGAGCTGTAGCTCAAATGGGGCCAGCCCTGAGCAAAAAAGCTAAGGGACAGACCCCTAACCACAAGCTTAAGGCTCTAATACCAGCAAGGAGGGGTAGAGGGGGGAAGTACCAAACAAATGAGGGAAAGGAGGCAGACTGCCTGGACACATCCTGGCCTCTGCTGCACAGATTCTATAGGGTGAGAACTTGAGCAGGGGAATCAGGAGAGACAATAAACATTCACCCAGTGTACCAGCAGAAAAAAGATACCAAACAAATGAGGCACCAGAAATGCATCTTGCATGTTACTACATGTACAACACATAATAATTTTGTAAGTGAATGTTTCTTAATTAACAAGTGAGTATATAAAAATGGCTTTTGTGATACATGGCATGTATTAAGATTTAGGATTGTCTTTGTTTAAAACAAACCAACAAAAAAAGCAATCTTTTTTCAGAATTAAGTAGATGTGAATGAGGTTCATGGAACTGAATGAGGTTCCCAATGTAGGATTTAGCTAGAGAAGGGCTGGGCGGGCGCTTGCTTTCCGCCTTGGTCCTTTCTATGGCTACAGCACATGCTTCTACAATCTTCATTCTAGAGCGCCCTCTGCTGGAAGAGGGCCTTAGCATGTCTGATTTCCTTTTCTAGATAATTGTTTCCTCCTCTAAATAGTCCAACTGATTTTAAAATAAGTTTATTATTTTTGTTTTTTAAAAGTCATGTTCAGAAAGACAAACAGCTCATGTTTTCTCTCATGTGGCAGCCAGATCTAAAATACAACTATGTGCAATGACATATACAGGGCTCAATGCATTTACAGACAAAAAGGAAGATATATTTAGGAAAGGAATCCAAAAGGGTAACTCCACAGAATTACTGAAATACAGGAATGGAGGAGGAAGGGTAAACGAATATAGTTATGTATTCAATATACACCATGCAAATACTGAATTAGTAACTTGAGAGTAAGGATGGGAGGAGAAAAATGGGGAAGAATGAAGAGATGCCACTGATCAAGAAGCTCTGTACTTATGGAATTGTAACCACTTTGAACAACTAGTTGGTAATAAAAAAAAATTACAGTAACTCAGACACCAGTGGCTCACACCTGTAATCCTAACTACTCAGGAGGCTGAGATCTGAGGTTCATGGTTCAAAGCCAGCCTGGGCAGGAAAGTCTGAGACTCTTCTCTCCTATTAACCACCAGAAAACTGGAAGTGAAGCTGTAGGCTCAAGTGATAGAGTGCTAGCCTTGAGCTGAATCGCTCAGGGACAGTGCCCTGACCAAGTTCAAGCTCCCAACTGATCGACCAACAGACACAGACAGACACACACACACTACAATAAATGTATATAATTAATAAAATTTAAAAGCACCATAATTTCTATTCTATAATCCTGTCCTTCAACTAAACCCTCAGTGCAGTCATCCAGAGCTCATGACTCATGTTAGGGAACACAATACACAGGTCTCCGGAACTGAGGGTATCTTTTGCTATTAGGCCATAGTGAGGTGCTATCCAGATACCCATAACTGTAGGCAGCTAAAATAGATGAACAGAGAGAGAGAGAGAGAGAGAGAGAACAAGAGAGAGAGAGAGAACAAGAAAGAGAGAGAGAGAACAAGAGAGAGAGAGAGAGCACGCGCAAGAGAGAACCTGTGTCTGGGTGGAAGTTTAATAATCTTTAATTATCCTACTATTCAAGTGTTCAGAAAGCTGTGGACTCTGCCTGGTAGAAGGTGTCCATCCCGGGGAGACACAGGCTGGCATGACTGAAGGCATCAATGGAACAACTATCAGTGCTTCCTGCCTGCAATTTGCTGAACTTTCTCTGCTCAGGGTGAGAAAGACCAGTCCATGCAGGAAGGCGGAGGAGGTATCTGGACAGAAAGGAAGGTGAGTCACATCAAAGATATAAAGAGAACTTTTCATCCAGCAGACAAAGTGAACTTGGACTGCAGCAGCTAAAGGGGGAGGAGTACGGGAGAGCTCCACACCCACGCAGCTGTTGCCCCAACCACCCCAAGGCACGCGAGTCCCTCTCAGTGCCCCCACAAGCTACAATGCGCCCCCACTCCCGGTTCCCAATCCCCCTACCAGACAGCTTTCTATCCAGGCCTCACAACATCCCTCCAGCCACACCCCACATAGCTCATCCCCAGTAACTCTATGGCTTCAAGACTGTGAGATGCTGCGATGAATGTTCCCATTCACAGACTTTCAAAGCTCAAAAAAATCCAACAGAGGAAACCAAGGAAGAGAGACTTGGAGAGATGAAAGGACTCACCCCAGGCCACCCAGATGGGACCAGAATTTAAAAAAACCCTCTTTCTTTCTCTAGTACACTGGCTTTTCAGTCACAGAGATTGCTAGATGCATTTAACAAAATAATGGGTCCCATAACCACCCCTCAAATAAATACTCTAAAAACAAAAGCAACACGACAGTACAGGCCTCTGTTGCATGGTTGTAGAGGACACTTCTGTAGTTCTCTGAGATGCAGGTCACTAAGAAACGGCTGTTTGGAAACTGCTTCCTGCATGTCTCATGATGCCCTGACTACTGAGCTACACGCAGCTGCTGCTGGCTCAGACAGTCCTCCAGCATACCAGCTTCTGGGACTCCCTTGGTTTTCCCATACTACGTTGAGGGGCACAAGAAACTCCTGCTTCACCAGAGATTTTTCTAAATGGGAGACTAGGAACTGAGGCATAGGCCCGAGACTTCTGAAAACTGCATTCCTGCAGTGCTATGGTATTCCTGATTCAACGCTCCTCTGTGCAGCAAGATGGTCTTCTGCATACGCACATGACAGGGCATGGTGGAAAGGTGCCCTCTTCCAGGCAGTCAAGATAGGCCCAACGAACCCTGCAACCATGGTGCTGACTGGTTGTAAGACCTCCCATGTGGCTGGAGTAAAGAAATCAACCTATAGCCACTGGGTGTTTACTAAGCACACTCGTCTCCTTAGTGACTTCATCCATATAATTCACTAATGAGGACACTGAGCTCACATCAAGTTTTTTGGACTCATTTTGTATATCCCTTATTTACTTCTATCCCACTTTATTTCTGTGCCATACAGATGCAGCCCTGCATTTACTGACATTCTTTAAGGAGTCACTGCAGCTATTTTTGTATGGCTTTTCTGCTGAACTAGAAGATACCAGCACTTTGGGACTTAAAATATACTGCAGGCAGCTCCAACCACAGACTTCATGTTAATACCCTGTATCTTGTCTATGCATGGAGCAATCACCTCTCCCTCAAAGTTGTGGTCAACATTTTATTAGACCAGTGATACCTAGTAAACCTCCACTGGAAGAACAGTGTAAGCATGACCTGAATTTTCTTTTTATTAGTCTAGCTAGTAAAACTATATATATATGTGAGTGTATATATAATATATATTATACATATATTATATATTATATATACACTCACATATACACATCCATACATGTAAATCTATACATATACTATAGACAAATATATAGTTACATGCATTAAATATATATACCATATTTATCCTACCTGTATGCTCTTAGCAATAATAGTGCAAAGAAAAAAGCTAAAGTAAAAAGAGCTGAGGAGATGACTCCAGAAGTAAGGTGCTTGTGTGACAAATGCATGGCCTTGAGTTAAAATCCCAGCACTGCCAACAACAAAAACCCTCTGAGGAGCAAAGAACAAAAGCCCCCTGAGGAACAAGGAAGATACGGCACTTATAAAACAGAAAAATGCCTAATGCTACTTACAAATGGGAAAGGAAGTTAATATAGACAAAAAAAATACAACTGAATAAAAAGGGATTCTTCTTTCTCTGTCATGTTAAGTAGATGTTTTCACTTTTATGTATAAGGAAAATTTTTAGAAAGCCATTTTACTCACCTTTGAGTAGGATTCTGAGTTAGAAATGTGCATGCTTTTATTCTATATTATTATCTACTTATTTTTTAACCATAAGCAAGTATGATTTTTGGTATGAAGATTTTTCTGTTGAGATTGCAGATAAAAAGCTCACCTGCATTAAGAATCAATTTGAATATCTATATTCTTTAAAGTAGAATACTCACAGGGCTTCCACTGTCCACACAGGTCATCCCATAATAAGAATATTTATACATACATCAATCAAATAGGATCTCAAGTGTAAAAATCCACAGCTATACAATACCTCAGCTCCCCCCATCCACTTAGGCTCATCGGGAAATTCCGCACACAAGATATCTTCTGATTGGTCAGTCCCCAAGACATGGTAGCAGAGCTTTTGGTGGAGATTGGTGGATGTCTCTGTGCCTGAAGGAGTTAAAAATGTATACTGAAATGCAGTTGGCAACTATCAGAACATCTATTCCACTTATACCATGCTAGAAGTATCAAAAATGTTGAGTACCAAGTTATCACAGAAAAAGTTAAATGCATTCCTACATACCCAGCAACATACCAGTAGAATTTCAAATTAAACACATAATACCATTCCGTTAGCATCCAAGAAAGTAAAAAAGATGTAGCAACAGCTCTAACAAAATATGTACAAGATTTATATGAGGAAAACTATAAAAGAAAGAAATCAGTAAAAGAAATAAATGGAGAGCTATTATGTGCTCAGAGGTAGGAAAATTCAATACTTTCAAGGTATTAGTTCTTCTCAACATGACCTAAAGGATCACAAAATCACAACCCAAACCTCAGCAAGTCATTTTGTGAATGAGGAAAGATTGATTCAAATGTTTACATGGAGAAGCAAAGTACTCAGAGTACCAAATACAATACTGAAGGGGAACAAAGGTAAAAGACTGACATTACATGACTTCACGACTTATTATAAAGTTATGCAATCAAGTCAGTATGGTTCAGGCTGAGGAGTAAACAATAAACTAGAATTAAGAACCCAGATACAGACACAGGCAAATACAGACTGCTGGTAGCTAGGTGCTGGTGGCTCACACCTATAATCTTAGCTATTCAGGAGGCTGAGATCTGAGGATCATGGTTCAAAGCCATCCCAGGCAGGCAAGTCCATGAGACTTTTATTTCCAATTAATACCCAGAAAAAAGGAAGCGGCACTGTGGCTGAAAGTAGTAGATTACTAGCTTTAAGCAAGAAAGCTCAGGGACAGCACCCAGACCGGAAATTCAAGCCCCACAACTGGAAAAAAAAAAAGCCAGTATCTATCTATCTATCTATCTATCTATCTATCTATCTATCTATCTATCTATATCTATCTATCTATATCTATCTATATCTATCTATGTATCCTATCTATCTATCCTATCTATCTATCTACCTATCTATCTAATATCTAGATAGATACACACTTTTTATTAGCCTATGACAAAGAAACAAAGAAAATACAATGCAACAAATCTGGTTTTTTCAAGTAATGGTGATGGAACAAGTAGATGACCGTATGTCAAAATAGACAGAAACAAAAAGAGATACAGACACAGACTTCACACCATTCATAAAAATTAACTCAAAATTGTAGGGTGACAGTGGCTCATACCTGTAACCTCAGCTACTCAGGAAGTTTAGATCTGAGGACAGGGTTTGAAGCCAACTCAGGCAGAAAGGTTCCCTGAGATTCTTATCTCCAATTAACCAGCAAAAAGCCAGAAGTGAAGGTATAGCTCAAATGGTAGAATGCAAGCCTTGAGCAAAAAAGCCAACTGAGAGTTCAAGCCCAAGTACAGAAACAACAACAAAAACCTCAAAATGTATCATAGAGATAAACATAAAACCAATCTGTAAAACTCCTAGAAAATGAAATTGGAGAAAAATGATGACTTTGGATTTGGTGACAACTTGTTAGATAGTACAAAGGCACAATCCATGAAATATATACTTGATAAGCTAGACTTCATTAAAATTAAAAATGTAGGCATAGCAAATGACATTATCAAAGAAATGAAAAGACAAGTCAGAGATTGGGATAAAGTATTACATAACGTTTACCTGACAAAACAACTATTAGCCAACATATACAAAGAAGTGATGTCTCAAAAAGTAAGAAATGATGTAACCTGATTAAATAGTGGATCAAAGATCTTAAAAGGTACTACTTTATAACCAGGAAGAGAAGAAGACAAGTAAGCGTAGGAAAAGATGCTTCCTGTGGGATACCAGGAGGGAAATGTAAATTCCATTAACAGATACCAAAATACATCCATTAGAATGGCCAAATTCCAAACCCTGAAACTGTCCAATATTGGTAAGGATATGAACTAATAGAAACTCTCAGCCCCATGGCTGGTGGGAATGCAGATTGGTACAGCTACTTTGGAGGATAGATTTGGAGGCTTCTGACAAAAGTAAACATATTCCTTTGTGTGTGGGTGCTGGTACCAAGGCTTAAACTCAGGGCCTCATGCCCTCACTAGGCTTTTTATGTTCATAGCTAGTACTCTGCCACACATCCAATTCTGGCATTTTTCTAGTTAACTGAACAATCTCTTAGGCTTGTCAGCCTTGTGGGCTTTGAATTGTGATCCTCCGATCTCAGCCTCCTGAGTAGCTACGATTAGACATGAGTTGAAAATGTACTTTTATTATATGATGTAGCAGTTGTGCTAATATTTACCTAAGGAAACTGAAAATTTTATGTCTACACAAGAATTATCCACAGATTTCATGCAGTAGCTTTATTCAGAATTGCCAAAACTTTTGAAGCAATCAGTATTTCCTGCAATAGAGGAATGAATAAAGTATGTGATATATTTAAACAAAGTACTATTATTCACCATGTAACAGAAATGAGCTATCAAACATGGAAGACATGGAAGAAACTTACATGTATCATTACTAAGTGAAAGAAGTTGATCTAAACAGGATACATTCTGTGTAATGCAACTAGAGGACACTCTAGAAATGACCAAATTAAGGATCTATTTACTAATAGGTTGGTACAGCATGGCCTAGTAGTATATTTCTATAATGCCAACATTTGCTAGGTTAAGGCAGAAGGGTCTTGAGTTTGAGGCCAGCCTGGTCTACAGAGTGAGACTCTCTCACAAAGGAAACAACAACTAAAATCACTTCCATAGTTTCTAGGGGTGGTTGGGAGAAAAAGGGATAGGCAGAACACAGGATGTTTTCATGGCAATGAAAATAATCTGTGTGAAGCACAATATTGGATACAAGTCACTGTGTATTTGTCCAAACCCACAGAATGTACAAGGCCAGGAGAAAACCCTGAAGTAAGCCATGGCCTCAGGGTGACAATGATCTATCACTGTAGGTTCATTAATTATAAATGGACTACACTGGTGAGGAATGTTGATAATGGCGAAGTCTATGCTGGGGAGGAGGCAGCAGATAACTTCCTCTCCAATTTTGCTGTGAATTAAAGCTTATTTAAAAAACAAAAATGAGTCAGGTGCCAGTGGCTCAGGCCAGTGATCCTAGCTACTTAGGAGGCTGAGATCTGAAGATCTTAAGAGATACTAAAAGATCTTAAAAGATACTACTTTGCAACCAGGAAGAGAAGACAAGTAAGCATAGGAAAAGATGCTTCCTATGGGATACCAGGAGGGAAATGTAAGTTCCAATAACAGATACCACAATACATCCATTAGAATGGCCAAATTCCAAGACCCTGAAACTGCCAACCTGGGCAGAAAAGTCCCCATGAGACTCCTTATCTCCAATTAACCACTCAAAACCTAGAAGTGGAACTGTGGCTCAAAATGGCAGAGCTCTAGCCTTGAGCAAAAGAGCTCAGGAACAGTGCCCAGGCCCTGAGTTCAAGCCCCACACTGAAGGGGAAAAAAAACAAAAACAAAAATGAGGCTTGCCATTGTTGGCTCACGCCTACCTATAATCCTAGCTACTCAGGAGGCTGAGATGTAAGGATCACAGTCTGAAGCCAGTACAGCAGAAAAGTCCATGAGATTTTTATCTGCAATTATGAAGCAAAAAACCAGAAGTGGAACTGTGGCTCAACTGGTAGAGCACTAACCTGGAGCAAAAAAGCCAGGTGAGAACACAAGGCTCTGAGTACCAGTGTGCATACACACACACATATAAACACACACACATACCACACATACACACAGTGGGTATCAATTGGAACTCACCCCAAATTAAGTGACATATTTGCCAATTTTGGAAACTGTTATATGACACTCTATTTTTTCCTTATGAAAACATTCCAAGCTGTCAAATAGAATGAATAATAATACCATAATGGAAGGGAAATCCTTATGGTACTGAAAAGATCTTTCCAGACCAGTGGTAAACAGCAGACAATAGAAACTGCTTAGCTTCATTTGTCAGACTCCCATTACAGAGGCTACTGTGACCCTCTTAGACAAAGGGCAGCCAAACTACAGCGAGGAAAAGATGTTGGCTTTCTTAAACCAATCACAATTACCAATCTTTTGCCACTGAGAATGGAGGATAAATAAACTGTTCTAAGCTTTTCACGAACGAACATCATCTATACTCTAATATGACCCGTTATTTTTTTTCCCTCTTCCATTACTTGGGAATAACCAATATTTTCTATCTCGGGAGAAACCTGAATACAGAAAATTAATTCAGTGTATAAGACAGCTTTCTTCAGCCAGCATTCTTGAATAAAAACCCTACTCCTACTCCTAGCTCCTCTTATAGTACATTAGTGAGCTAAGAAAAAGGTCTTCTTGTACCCTAATCCAAAGTACATAAGCTAAACATGGTCTTAAAAAGATTAAAAGCAAAGTGGGGGCAGGGGGAGGCAGGGTTGAGAGGGAGCAGAAAAGCAAGCACATCTAGAGATGACAAAGATTCAGCAAATCACAAAGGGGCATGTACAGAAGAAAGCCTCAAACCAGCCAAGTGTCTTGACAGTACCAAGTCCTCCAACAAGTTCCTAGTAAAGCCACCTGTAAGACCAAACAACTACAATGGCAAGAAACTACTATGTGTCATGCAAAAATGTAAGACAGCATAAAATGATGCTGACAACTTGTGGTTGGAACACAAAAGGTAATGGCCCTGCCTATCTGGATTAATTAACAGTAAAGGGTGGCTCATGCCTGTAATCCTAGTTACTTAAGAGAATGAGTCATGAAGATTGAGGTTGAAAGCCAGCTCAGGCAGAAAAGGCAGTGAGAATGGTCTCTCCAATTAACCATCAAAAAGCTAGAAGCAGGGCTATGGCTTGAGTGGTAGAGTACCAGCCTTGAGCAAAAAAGCTAAAGGAAAACTCCTAGGCCCCAATTTCAAGTCCTAGTACCAGCATTTAAAAAAAAAAAAAAAAGAAAAAAAGTGAAGGAGGGAGAAAGAAGGAAGCAAGCCATGGGTACACAACAGGATCGTTGTGCAGATGAAGACCATTCCAAAGGTTATCTATAAAAGTAACAGGAAGAAAAGAGTAAAGATAAACACAAGCAACAAGTAACCTACAACTTGTGATCAAAGGAAGAGATGTGATTATGATTACTATAGTAGGAAAGATTCATAATTACCCAACATCATCAATAGAGAAAAAAAGACAGAGGAAAAAAAATTCTGCCAGTGGCCCATACCTGTAACCCTAGCTACTCAGGAGGCTAAGATCTGAGGATCTCAGTTCAAAGCCAGCCCAGGGAGAAAAATCCATGAGACTCTTATCCCCAACTAACCAGCAAAAAAAAAACAGAAGTGGCACTGTGGCTACAATGGTAAAGTGTTAGCTTTGAGCAATAAAAAGCTTACAAACAGCCACTAGGCCTGGCACACGCACACGCACACATGCACACACACAGTGTAACTTCTCCATGATATTCTTGGGAGTTTTAACACATCTATGAAGGTCTGATTGTAAATGTCTTCCCAATTTCTGAATCTAGCCTGTTTAAAGGTGCTGGCCCTGTGGTTTTGATGGGCACAGAGGATGCAGTGAAGTTAGTACCAGTGGCAAGCTTAGGTTGCTTAAGACCCTGTGCCTTCTAGTGCTCCCTCTTAGAATCTTTACTGTGCCCCTACAAGACCAAGCCTGGACCAGCCCATTAGAGCATGAAACCATATGGATCAAGAGTTGAGATAGCCTAGTTGTCCCAGCTAGACCCCAGGTCTGTAAAAGAGTCAAGCCAATATCAATCAACTGACTGTAGCTGGCCAGCAAAGCCTAGAACTGCCTGGCTAACCTAGAGCCTCATGAGCAAAACCTAGCAGCTAGTATTCCAAGCCACCAAGTTTTGGTGTGGTCAGTTATGCAGCCAAGTGAACTGACACAACTGCCCTTAGAGGCAACTTGGCTCTAGAAAAAACATGTAACTTAACTTCCTTTTTTTTTGCCATGGAAAGTCACACGTCCACTTGTGAAGGAGAGCTCCACTGAAGTCTTCACGTACCATCACTCTTTCCATCTTGTTGGGGGTAGGAGTTGTAGAACATCCCTTTCCCATCATGGGTCCAGGCCATGCAGGTGAACTTGACTCTTTCCAGCACATCAGGAAGCTCTTTGGCACCATCAACTTTCATGAATTTGATTGTCACCCAGTCTGAGCCACTGGCACTCAGACCATAGGCAAAATATTCACCGTCTTCACTAAACGCATAACCTACAAGGCAGAGGAGACACTGCTGATGATCAATGCAGAACACTACTCATCTTTTCCACAGTCTCCCATGCTCTCTACCTGAGCTCTGTCATAATGCAGAGGCAAAATGTGGCAACGGAAGAAATACTCAGGACTTAAAGGGATTTACCCTTATGACTCTGGTCAAGATGGCTAACCTGTCTGGGACACACTTCCTTCGTTAGTAATTGAAGCACTGGATTTGATATACCCACTAAGATGCTTCCACTTGGAAAGCTTTATCATTCAAGAGGCAGCTCAGTTAGAAGCAGAGCTCACCTGGGAGTTTCGGCATATTTTATTTATACTCTAGAGGAAATGATGACTAAATGATAATACATATCATATAAGAGAAATTACACTGTAGATATTAGGTAAATTTTGAGTGGACTCCAAACGATTTGAAATATCTTTTTACAACGTCACTTTCAGAGCATTACTGGCCCTCAGGGATTAATGTCTATACTACATGATGACATCATAGGCTCAGACAAAAGCCTGAAGGACTGCACAAGTGACCCAAAGGAACATCATCTAATAAACATCATGTCAAGTCCTTTAGGAACAACACACAGAACACTCACTGTGTATCATCACTTTGGGCTATTTCTTGACAAATATTTACATATTTTATGCTGGCTTTCATAAGTATGAAGTTATATACAGCCTTTCATATCTCATCTCCTATTAGGAGAACCAGACACCAAAGATTTGCTCTCAGAAGTCTGCTAAACTACTGGGGACTACTGGGTGGGAGGGGCACTATTATTTTACATTTTACAACTAACAGGAAATGAGTTGAAAATTTCATAACCTGCGTATTAATGGCTTGTAAGTCCTGTAAGGTATCCAGGTTCATATGTGTATAAATGTAGAATAAGAGTCTGAAAGGTAATGGGGAGAAAAAGATATTCACCTTTTATTGAACAGAATGCTATAGAGTTTGGGTTATATAATTATTTTCAGGAGAAAATTAAACAGAACATTACTTCGGTTGAAAATATATGTTAAGTAATATTCATCGTACACATGTGAAAATGGAACCAGTTAACTTGAGGGGATGGATGGGATTCAGAAGGAAAGAACAATGAAAGGGGTCAACACTGATCAAGATGCACTGTACTCACAAACGTGTTGAACTGAACCCCCTTTGTACAAGTACTTAAAAGATAATTTTAAAATAATAAATTAAAAAAATTATATGTTAAGAAACCAAGAATCTGTATATTTATTCATCCTGTAACTTCCCCAAAATATCACTCTCGGGAAACTCGATGACTGTGTGAGAGCAGGACCTATGTCTAATTTACTCTGTGACTACTCATCAGGCCTTATACTGGGCAAACATTCACTAATGAAAGTACTGGAATGCATCAGCGGGGGGGAGGTGACCTATTACAAAGAAGTCGTGTGGATGGGTTGCAAGGCAGATCTTTATGAAAGCTAAGAGAAGTTCTTAAACCTCAGGCTCAGAGTCAGGGAAAAACCTACCTTATCAGGGGTTGTTAACATTTCACTTTCAATCTAACTCAACCCAGGCATCTCATTTACATACTCAGACTAAGCTGGGAGGGACAGAGGACCACTGAGCACTCAATGATGTTTAGAAATGCCTGCAATAGGGTCTTTGCACAGATTTGATGAAAGGCGCTCTATCATTTCCATCCTTACTATTACAGGATGTCCCTGTTCCCGTTTCTCAATTCTAGAGAGCCAGACCTATCATCAACAGAAGCACCAGAGAGGAAGGGCAACATCACTAGGAAGATCTAGGATAAATCTCCAGGTTATCCTGTTTCCTTACCCTAGAACTCTGCTGACAGCACAAACCTGGGGTAATTTTCTCTATGGCATTTGGGTAGACTATCTTGGGGACAGTTATATAGGAGGCTTACAGAAATTGCAGGTAAAACTTACCCACATTCTAAGCCTTCTTCGGGAAATAGGGTATCAAGTTGTCTAACTTCCATACAATTGTTTGCAGAAGATCTTTTCACTTTCAATCCTAACATATTGACAATTATCTAGACTTTGAAACTCTGATCACTCTCCTCACAAAAAGAGATACAATAATATTCTCTCTTAGAGTACCTTCCTAGCTGTAACATTATACAGCTTCAATTTCTTATACAAGAGAATTTAAGTTTTGCCAATCACAGGCAGGTCTTGAGGATGTTATAGGAAATAAATGATGATGATCCCAGAAGCTAATCTCCAGTTCTACTTCATGCCTTCACAGTGAGAAATACGACTGTGCCTATTCATGTGCTCTAAATATACTGTGCAAAAGTTAGCTTTCTGAATATTGTGTGTGCATCTGTTCCACCTTCTGGTCCACACACTGCCTGGTATTTCAGAGGCGAAGCAACTGCGCTAGCATCATAGCCACAACTGGGGGGCTTCAGGACTCAGTACTCACCTCGGAGTGCCACTGTGCCATCATCAGACAGGATGTTGGGGTCGAGGAACACTCTGGCCTCTCCCTCTAGGGAATCTTGCACGTATAATACTCGTTGGTTCTGCAAACCTGTGTTGTAGAAATAAAAGTACCTGGGGACAGAGAGGGTCCTTATTTAGCTGCAACAATTTCTATTCATAGAGTACATTCAAGCTATAAGCAAAAGTAAGCAAAGCACAAAACATAGAATGTTACAACTCCAGGGAAATGAGGGTCAAAGGTCCCACAAAGCTCTGTACCTAGAGCATGTTACTTGTATTGCTTTCTTTATGCAACTAGTGTGTATGTATACCAGGGCTTGAACTCAGGGCAAGCTCTCACTTGGCTTCTTTGCTTTTTTGACTCAGCAGCTGAGTCTTGGTCCCAAAGTGTCATTGAACTGCATTCCTTAGATCTCAGCCTCCTGAGTAGCTAGGATTATAGGTGTGTGCCTCTGGCACCTGGCTATGAAAGTAATTTATTATGATGCTGCACATTAAATTTACACAAAGACTCATTCACTAAAAAATAAAGCTAATATTCAAATAGAGCAGTGAGTGTTTCTTCTACAGGAAGAAAGCAAATTTTCTAAAATGAAATTCTAGCTGCTAGAGTAGGTCAGCACATCTGTTCTGCATGGGGCAAGACATCATGTGTTTTGGGCTTTGTGGGTCTCAGCCTTTTTCTACACTACTCAACTTTGCAGTCATGTAAAGAAAGCAGGTGCGGCAAATACAAACACAAATGGGCATGGCTGTTAATTATAGACTTGATTTACACAAACAGGTGCAGGTAAAGTTGGAAACAGATTCAACTTTGTTGCTCTCTGGTGAAACAGGCAGGGAGGGGCTAAGAAATTCCTAAACAAACTTGTGATGGTACCTCTGAGGAGATTTTGAAAAAACAAGAGAAGATGACCGAGTGTGAAAAACAGAGGCCAAGAGGACTGAATTCATGGACCATTTTATCATTCTTGGGAGAAAAAAATGCATATAACAAAATGTTCTCAAGTAGCATTAGAAGGAAACAAATATTCACTGGTGTTTGGGAATCATCCAGACTTACCAAATGCCACCCATAAGACAACAGGGATTTCTTGTAATCTACATTTCTTTTTGTATGTGTATGTGTGTCCTAAGGCTTTGACACCGGACCTGGAACTGTCCCCATAGTGTTCTCCATTCAAGGCTGGCACCTTACCATTTGAGCCACATATCCACTTATTTTTTAGTGGTTAACTGAAAATAGTCACTGGGCACCAGGGGCTCACACCTATAATCCTAGCTACTCAGGAGACTAAGATCTGAGAATCACGGTTCAAAGCCAGCCCATGAGACTCTTATTTCCAATTAATCACTGAAAAAGCCAGAAGTGGCACAGTCACTCAATTGGTGGAGTGCTAGCCTTGAGCAAAAGGAGCCCAGGGACAGCACCCAGGCCCAGAGTTCAAGCCCCAGAACTGGACAAAAAGAAAAAGGAGGAGGAGGAGGAGGAGGAGGAGGGGGGGGGGGGGAGGAAGGAAGGAAGAAAGGGAAGGAGGGAGAGAGAGAAAGAAAGAGAGAGAAAGAAAGAGGAAAATGGAAGAGAGGGAGGAAGGGAAGGAAGGAAAGGAAGGGAAGAAAGGGAAGGAAGGAAAGGAAAGAAAGGAAAAGGAAAGAAGGAAGGAAGGGAAGAAAATAGTCTCCTGAGAAGCTGGAATTACAGGTGTAATGAGCCTATGGTGCACAGATCATCTACATTTCTTTATAGCACATACCTCTACTAAATTACAAATAGGTATAACACCTAATGGGACAGAAAATTTTCTTCTCATATTCTAGTAACTAAATCATTTTATCAGCTAGTGAACTATTTCCAGTTATATACTTTGTGTTTAACTGTATTGTTTTTTTGTGGTTTCTTTTTTGGTACTGGGGCTTGAACCAAGGATGTTGTACTTGCTAGGCAAGCACTTTGCCACTGAGCTACATCCCAGCTCTGTACTTTGTACTTAAGGAAAATAAGAAGAGATTTGTCCGGCAGTATGCTCACATACCGTTTGCCTTTCTTGAAGTGACAGCTGTATTTGGGATAGTCATACAGTTCAGTCATTCTCTCTTTGTATAAACCTCGGATCGGGCACTGCTCCAGAAATGGAACGGTAATCTTGTTCTGGGCCTCCACAAAAGCCTGGAGAGAACAAATGGACAAAAAACAAATCAACAATAAAGTTTCCCAAGTGTAATGTCAGGCATTAGAATGTATCAGCAAAAGTATATTTTACCTCTATAAATAACTGACTCTTAAATGGCCCTAACTCAACAAATGTTTGTTTGTAGAACAAATATTAATTTATTTAAAACCCACACTACTTCTCTGGAGAAGGCTCTTTCAATTAGGCCAACTTTACAGGTAAGAAAATTGAGGCTCCAAGTAGTTAAAAAGCTGCTCACCATCTTCATCTTATTCTTTTTTTTTTTCTTTTCTTTTTTGGTTGTGAGGCTTGGACTCTGGGGCTGGGCACTGTTCCTCAGCTCTACAGCTCAAGGTGAGTACCCTACCACTTGAGCCACAGCACCACTTCCGGTTTTCTGGAGATGAGTCTCATGGACCTTCCTGCCTGAGCTGGCTTTGAACTGTGATCCTTAGATCTCAGCCTCCTGAGTAGTTAGGATTACAGTCATGAGCCACTGGCACTGGGCTGCTCACCATCTTAAAATGACAGAACTGGCTTCTGAATCTACCTTTCTTACAATCACACTTTACTGCCATTCAGATCAAGAGCTGTAAATAACCCACTAATAAGCTAATAATGATTATTAAAACACTATAATAATGTGCATAGTACCAAGGCTCTAGGCTTTTCATGCAGTAGGTAGTAATCCCAAAAGAGGTCAGATTCTTTCCTATGGAATGCTTTCCATCAGGTGAATTATAATTAGAAAACTTTACAAGAAAGGAATGCTAACAAAAAGCCAGGAATTGGTGACTCAAGCCTGTAATCCTAGCTACTCAGAAGGCTGAGGTGTAAGGCTCACAGTTTGAAACAGGCCCATACAGGAAAATCTATGAGATTCTACTTCCAGCAAAAAGCCAGAGTGGAGCTCTGGCTCACGCGGTGGAACACTAGCTTTGAGCAAATAAAAAGCACAAGGACAATGCTCAGGTCCTAAGTTCAAGCTCAAGGACTGCCACCAAAAAAAAAAGTCGAGAAAGGAAATGGAAAAGAGTGGTAACCAATGATGGTGTCTAAGAAGAGCAAGACAACAATGAAGGAAACTATAAGTGTCTTGGCAGCAAAGGAAGTTTTTATACCAGATCAGTTTTACCAAAGCATACCCTACTTAGAACTAAAGTTAGAAAGTTTATAACTACTATTTGAAAACCTGACCTCACAAGTCTTATCTAGCTATTGGTAAGATACTAAGTAAGAATAACTCTCAGGTCTAAGTTCAATAGGAGATTTCATCAGATGGTTACAAATAGGTAAATCATTAGGAAACAAACATCAAGAAATAATTGAGAGCTAGTTGACAGTGGCTCAGGCTTTAACTTAGAAAGCTGAGCTCTGAGGATTACAGTTCAAAGCTAGCCCAGGCAGAGAAGTCTATGAGACACTTATCTCCAGTTATCCTAAGAGGCAATGCCCAGGCTGAAAACACAATCTGTCTTTCATGACACACAAAGATGCATTAAGATCAGTCTCCGGGAGGAATTACCCAGCTGTCAGAGCCCATCCAAGCTCCAAATAGTTTTAAGTGGTCGATATGCTTTGCGTTTCTTACACAAAACATCAACCTCACTCCAGGGAACCATGATTTCAGGCTGTGAGAAGCTGTCCCCAAACTCATTAATGTTTACAATGTACTTGAAAGGAGAAAGAATGTAAAATATGAATATAATGATTAACTACATTGTTTGCAAGAAGACCACTGCCAGAACAAGTAAACTGTGATGAATCACATTTTAAAATTTTCACTCAAACAGAAGATAGGATTGAGCCCCACAGAAGTGTAATTCTCAACTGTTTAATGCAAACTTTGCCTTGGCCTGCTCTCCTAAGGAGCTTGAGTGAAGAATGGCTTTTATTAGAGTTTATTAGGGTTAGCTGTGAGACTCAGGGGTAGAGTGTTTGCCTAGCATCTATGAAGAGCTGTGTTTGATTCCCAATACTGCAAAAAAAAAATTTAAAAAAGAAAGAAAGTATGTGGATACACCTAAAGTGTTTATTTTGTGAAGTTGTACAGAAAAAGTTTGCTGACACAACTCGACCTTACTAAAAAGAATGTGAAGAAAGAAACTGGCTTTTGCTTTTAGTTACAAAATCAAGGCCCCAAGACAACAGAAGTCTGGAGGTCACAAAATGTGTTCAAGAGAATAGTCTTATTTTTTTGCGGGTTGGACTTAGGGCTTGAACTCAGGGCCTGGGTTCTGTCTCTAAGCCTTTTTTGCTCAAGGCTAATACTCTACCACTTGAGCCACAGCTCCACTTCCAGCTTTTTGGTGACTAATGGGAAATAAGAGCCTCATAGACTTTCTTGCCTGGACTGGCTTCAAACTGTGATCCTCAGATCTCAGCCATGAGCCCCCAGCTGGCCTTACTCTACAGTGAGATAAAATACCTATGTCACCAGGAAGCATTTGGCACCAAAGCTACCTGTCAGGATAATGCATGGAGTCTGAAGGATCACTGAGGTTAGCATTGCTTGATACCAGCAACAATAACAATAACTGGATTGAACATGGTGCAGATCTACTCAAGGGAAAAGGGAGGGAGAGGTAGCCTTGCTCTCCTATGATTTTCTCCTACTTGGCTGTGACTGGCTGGGCAAGCCATGACAAGGCAGTGGAGTATCTTCACGGCTTTAACAAGAACCTAGAGTATGTGAGCATTAATCTTGGCCTTGCGTGGAGATGATGGGTTCAAGGCAAAATCTCTCACATCACAGGGCAAATCTTCTATAATAAACAAGGTAGTGTTTGCAGAATGACTGGCTCTCAAGTGGAGCATCATCTAGAGACCACTGATGGTCCCTCAATGTTGGTCATCAGCCAGCCCACAAGACAGTGAGCCTGAGAGTAAGTGCTGAAAACCTCTACAGTAATTTGACATGGCTGTGGGCATGTCAACTCCTCAACAGTTTGGAAATTTACAGAGCAGTTGCTCAAGCTGTAGAGCTCTGAAGCAGTGGGAGGAAAGGCACTTATTTGAGGCGGGAGGGAGAAGGGGAAGCCCTTCAGTGGGGGGCCCTGCACTGAGAGAGAGAGAGCAGTTGTGCCAAGAGGGCAGAGAGTGCTAGGCAGCAGAAGCAGCAGCTTTCAGAAAGACAAACAAGATCAGAGAGGCTGAGAGTGGAACATCTGGGGGGAGGGCGTAGATGTAATGTTTCAATCTGTCATCCAAATGCAAGGAAGCCATAATTGGCCAGAGACAGGTAATCTGGTTTATCTTTACAAAAAGGCTCATTTGCTTTAGAGACCTGAAGTGGGAGCAGGCCAGTTAGAAGACAGAAGCAAGTGGTCCAGGTGACAGACAAAGAACTTTCAGGGTATGAGAGTGGATACAAAGAACATGACAATGTACGTGTGTTTACAACCATAACAGTTAATTTTTAGAAAGGCCTGGCCAATACAACATAAACCTGTAATCTGAGCCCTAAGTGGGGTTTCCACATAGATTCCAGCAAGCTAAACAGTCTCTCCTCTTTCAGGGAGGATCCTCAGAGGAGAGAATCCTTACATTGCTTTGTGTTTGTAGTGGACAGTACCTAATGCAGGTGCCTGAGGTGGGCGCCAAGGGTCATGTAATGTACAATAGATCGCTCAATCCACTTTTTATGGAAAAACAGATAGTGTTCAACACTTAAACTCTTCTGCATCTTTTACAATCCCATAGCATAATCACAAATACGACAGAACCAAGATCACCCAAAAGTACACTGCAGTCTTTTTGTTGTTGGTTGTAGGGCCTGAATTCTGGGCCTGGGCGCTGTCCCTCAGCTCTTCAGCTCAAGGCTAGCACTCTACCACTTGAGCCACAGCACCACTTCTGGCTTTTTCTGTTTATGTGGTGCTGAGGAATCGAACCCAGGGCCTCATGCATGTGAGGCAAGCACTCTACCACTGACCCACCTTCTCAGCCCATGCAGTCTTTTTTATATATAACTTGCATGAAACTGTTAGACTATGCATAGTGATGTCACTAAGCAATTTAAAACATAGCATACAGTATATCCATTTGTGTCATCTCCTGCCTAATAATGTTAATCAATTATTTCGTGTGTGTGTGTGTGTGTGTGTGTGTGTGTGTTGGTGGGTGTAGCTCTAGGGTTAAATTCAGGGCTAAGATTGCACTCCTCCAAGACAAATATCTAGATGTAAAATCAAGCCATTGTTCAAATTCCTAAAAGTCTCAAGTTCTTGCATACATCTACTTCTTTATAACTTGGGCAAACCCTTTTCTCTGCTTCTACAGTAGATTTTAAGTGTTCTCACCACAAAAATCAAATGAGAAGTATGTGATGTAACATGTGAAATATCTTCATTTAACAAAACCTCATATTGCACACAATAAACAAATGAAGCTTTTACTTAGCAAGTAAAAAAGGCTAGCTTTGAACCATGATTCTCAGATCCAGCTACTCAGCCTCCTGAGTAGCTAAGGTTACAGGTGTGAGCCACCAGCACCCAGCTTCCTTTTCAAGTTCTTACATAAATGAATATACCTAACATCCACAGTGACTCATTAACCCAATATTTATTTTAACACACCACAATGTGCGATGTGCTGATCAGCAAGAAAAACTGGGTAGAGACAAGCTACTGGTGAACAAAGGAAGGAACACTATCTCCCAAGTTGTCTGTAGACAGTCAAAAGGAGAGGAAGGACTTCCATAGGAGACCTGCTCTGCCTAAGTATCCATCTCCTCCCTTACCAAATACCAACCCACACTAGGGATGGTGCTATCTATACTCCACAAACTTTGAGGGGTTTCTGCTATATATACAATGAGCATTCTATATCCAGACTCAGATCCAACCAATGGTGGAGCAAATATTGGAGTGGGGAGGGGCAATGTATCTTTCCTAAGCATGTACTGACTTTGTTCCTTGTCATCCCCCAAATAATATGGTCTATTTCCATTGCATGTATTATGTACTGTAAGCAATTTAGAGATGATTTAAAGGAC